TGGTGAAGGGACTTGAACACAAGTCCTATGAGGAGGGGCTGAGGGAGTTGGGGTTGTAAACAGCCTGGAAAAGTGAAAGCTCAGAGGAGACCTCATCACTCTCTACAGCTATCTGAAAGGAGATTGTAGGCAGGTGGGCGTTGGTCTCTTCTCCCAGGCAACTATCAGTAGGACAAGAGGCCATGGTCTTAAGCTCTGCCAGGGGAGGTTTAGGTTAGATATTAGGAAGAAATTCTTTACAGAGAGGGTAATCAGGCATTGGAATGGGCTGCCCAGGGAAGTGGCGGATTCTCGATTCCTGGAGGTTTTTAAGATGAGACTGGATGTGGCACTTAGTGCCATGGTCTAGTAACCACGGTGGTAGTGGATCAAGGGTTGGACTTGATGATCCCAGAGGTCTTTTCCAATCTGGCTGATTCTATGATTCTATAATTTATATGTAAGTCTAAAACATTTGTTGCGTTTTGGTTTTATATCAAAAACAGCTATAGGTTAAAAAGAGCATATGTTTAGCTCTGTTATAATTAGAAGAGGCCTTCTTAAAGGGACTTGACTGTGGTATTACTTGCATCGGATCTTTTGCAAAGAATAGATATTTCTTCTCAGTCTAAATAGTCTAAATTCCCAAATCTTCGTTCGCGAAGCCTAGCCATGAAATAGTGTAAATTAAATGAACAGTGACTAAACTAGAAAGCCAATCTGATTTTGCTGGGCATATCTTGCTACCTTTAATATCGTAATTCCACCACAACCATAGTAAGGAATGCCTTAATGAATAATGTGATTCAGACCTAAATTTCTCATGTGAAAAATGAAGTTGGGCAAGGACAAGAAAGTAAGAATCAGTTTTTAAAAATAAAAAAGTGTTACCCTTTTATTCTTCTTTTAATTTTTCCTTAGCAGTTCATTAAAAGGGTGATTTACACCAGTTAGAGCCAATATAAGTAGCAACCAAGTTGTGCAAGATAGCTGTTACTGGTTATTTTAACTTTTTGTCAGTTCCTCTTCTGGCTCTCTTCTCTTGTGTGTGTGTATAGAATCGTAGAATAGTTTGGGTTGGAAGGGACCTTGTGACAATGACAAAAGATAGTTGGGTCTTTGCATGCACCCCCCCGCACACAACCCCCCTACCCCCTTGCTGTCTCTGATGGCCAATGTGGTTTGTCCTAAGATAAGTACACCAGGCAGGTATGGCAGAAGGAAGTCTCTGGATGCTCGCATAGTTAATGCATTCCAGACATGGGAGAGCTGCGATGTTGGCGATTGACTTTGGTGCACATCAGCCTGCAAAAGGGTACAAGGACCAATTGGTCAAACTAATCTTTCAAGCTTGCAGGTAGCTTCCTGGTGGATCATCCCCTCCCAGCAGGCTGGGTGTGATTATTAATGAATTCCCAGAGGTAGCACCCAAGGCCAGGGCAGGAGAGCAGCACTGAATACACATCCCAAATGACCCTCACTGCCCTTGATGCTATCATGTCTTAAACTGATATCTCACAGTACATCAACAAAGCAATCCTGATCCCTCTCCCTGCTCTGAAAAAGATCCCTGCAAGGAGCGCATGTGGGAACATATACAGGTTTAGGTAACACACCCACATGAACAGACCAAGCAACATTGTGACCAGTGGCTCCCTATCTAATACTGCAAATGCTTAGATTAAATTTGTTTCCAACCTGCTCTGGTCAGATCTGTTGTTATCTCAACCCTTTGTGCCTTACATTGGGAGCCAATTAAGGCTGTAGTGGTTTAGGAATGGTATTCTCCAATTTAGTGCTCCCACCAAAGCACTCTCTTGTCCTCCCCCGTCCAGTTGGAAACACAAAAGGCAAAGATCACAGGTTGAGATAAGACCAATTTACTGGAAACAGAAATGAGATAAGGAAAGGAACAGTAACAGCAACAATACTAATAACAAAAGTGTACAAAAAGAAAGTGATTTCCATGCAACATTCTCGCCAAGCTCGGGACAATGAAAAACAATGGTGGACAGACCCTCTGCCTGCCAAGCTTTCCCACAACTGAAAAGGAATGCCCTTTCATCTTGGAAGCAAGAGAGAGCCCCTTTTCCCCACCCCTGGCAATGATGTAAAAGTGTATTGAATAACACAATGTCTTGGCGGTGCCCCCTCCTGCTGATCTGGGCTGGAACCAGGACATCAACTGTAAGATAATATTAAAGTGCAACAACATGTTTTCCTATTCTCAAATTTATAAGGTGGTCACCATCAATTACAATACTTATTTATTTTATATTTAGTCATTGGATCTTCTCCAAACTTATTCCAGATTTTCAAAATACATCCCAGAGGGCTACAGAGTGGAATTGTGGACTGGTTTGCCAATACCCAATTACTCATTTCCTTTATCCTTAGGTCCAGACCTTCAATACGAATTGTTTATTACACACTGCTCCAACCCCATGTCGGTAAAGATAGGAGGGCCCTTCCCCCCTTTCATGTAGTTTTTGTATATATTAACAGTCACTGTTACAAATTCTGATTGGATTTACACAGGGCTTGCAACTCTTCCACATACCAATTCCACAACACCACACACTCCAGTTGTCACTGTTGATGCCTTAAGACCCTTTTAGTTTCTTATTTTTCTAATTTTGTAAGCTTTATAAGTTTTATAAGAAGTAGAAGTAGATTTTAGAAGCAGTAGCCCTTATTCCTTTACCCTTTAGCACCCTTTAGTTTACACATTCCTCAACCCTCTTACCCCATTCCATGCTCCCCATATCAATTCTACCCCTGAATTCCAGTAGAAAATGTTTAGTCTTTTGTCAAGGCAAGGCCTATGCTGTTTAGAGAACACTCATATCTTGGCCTGAACAACAGAACACAGTCAAGAACTGGGTGACCGTGTACCCTTTGTGCTCTGAAGATGATGAAAATGATGAAGAGGTGGTCCTGAAATACACCCCAGACCCAATTCCCAGGGGGTGGACCAGGGCAAAAGCAACGGGATGGACAAAACTTGGATTGGTCGTGCAGTATTATAAAATGTAACATCTCAGGCATGGCCTGCGTGTGCGTCTTGTAACATCTATACCTAGGCACAAATTAAACCCTTTCCTTATCTCACCCTCAATTAACTGCTCCAGAGTTTTTTCCTTAGCACCATTTTAGGCATCACTGTCAAGTGTGTATGAACCCTCCAAAATCCTCCTCATCATGTCTTCCCCAACTTCTTGCACCTCTTCCCCATAGCTGCATGCCGAACAATACACTTTATTACACTTTCCCTTTCTAATGCCAACAGGTTAGCATTCGCTGCCACCAATCCACATTCTTTATGAGCCTTGTAATTATTCCGCAATGCAAAGAACACATCACCATGTGGTACTTCATCCCATTTTCCTTCCTGGCAACAAAATAACATTAACTGTAGGATAATATTATAGTTCAGTGTTCCATTCTGAGGCCATTTTTCCCAATCCTCTTATACATACAAAGGCCACCACTGGTTACAATACATAATCAACTTTTTCTTAGTAAGGGGATCCCCTCCAAACTTTCTCCAATGCCCTAGAATACATCTTAAGGGTGAAGTTTTTACAATCTCCTTCTTGCAAGGCAGAGATTCTTGCACCCATTATAGTTATACTTTATCTAAATAATTGTAACAACAAGCAATTACTACAGACAATTAAACAATCAAACAGTAGTCACAAATATTGTGATGCTGATCAAGACAACTAGGAAACTGTACGGGAAGGACAATTTTAAACCTCTTGTGGCTTCATCATGTTAGGAACTGCCCTCAGAAGAGAAACCCAAGGGACAATGTTTAACAAAATGGCTTGCTGGGGTACAGGAATCATTATAGGGAAACGAGGAAGATGAAATAAGCTTTGGTTTTTATTTAAGTTGTATAAAGGCAATCATGAGGTGAAGATGGATGGATGGATGCTGTTGACAGCATAGACTTACTTGGACTTGTTCCAAATAATAATTCTGGTATTAAGAGCCTAAAAAATAGCCAAGCGACAGAGGAGCTAACTAAAACTTTTATTCTAATAAAAGGGAGAGTTCACTGGCCAATCCCCAATGAGGTCTCTCCACTTGATAGAGGTCGCAGCCTCTTTTATCCCCTTTGCCTGAAACGCAGGTCCCTCCCCTTTCCCCATTGGCTGAGGTACTCCGGGGTTTCAGACTTTCCAACACACCTACAGTGTGTCCCTCATTACATGGTCATTAGGGGAAGGGTCTCCAACATTTTCAAAATGGAGGTTACTGATCCTTTGCTGCTGATAGATTCTCTTGTCTCTGGGCAAACTGCACCTTTCTGTAACTGACAACTGAACAACCAGTAACTTGTCACTTTTTACTACTAAATGTAACTACACTACAAACTGCAAGAACACCTATTTATACCTAATAGACTGAAGAGATGCTGGCAGGTTGGGGAGCAAGTACAAAGCATGCTTCTAAGGTGCTCTACTTGACACACAGGAGCCTTACGAGTAGATATTAGGTAGATAAAGCTATTACATTAAAACTTCGAGGCAGCTTGGTCACCATCTGGTGCCAAATAGGTGCACGTGTGTGTTTTTAAGTCAGGGACAGGGCCAAGAGGAGAGGCTCGCACAGGCGGCCCGCAGGGGAGACGAGCATCTCCCAGCGCAGGCCAAAGCGAGTGGGGAGGCAGCCCCAGGGGAATGGGGGGTGTCCATCTTGTGCCAGCCCCGCTCAGGTGCTGCGAAGGGCGGAGGATGAACCGCGGCAGCGCTTCTGCCCCCGCCTCCTCTGTGAGCCAGGCCTGTCGTGATGCCGCGGCGAGCTGCACAGGCGCTGCAGCTACCAATGCTTATTGTACCCGGCCGGCGGCTTTTTTCTCTCTCCGCCCTTCCCCCCCCCTTTCCGCCTACCCGCCCTCTGGAAGCTGCCGCGGTCGGTGCCGCCATCGCCACCGTTGCTGCTGTGCGCATCCTCACTGCCCCCTGTGCGCCGGCCGGCAGTGCCTCCGATATCCCCGGCTGCCCCATGAAGCGATGGCAACGGCCAACTTCAGCAAGGTTCAGATAGGGATCTACGTGGAGATCAAGCGCAGCGATGGTCAGTGAGGCAGGGGCGACGGGAGGGGCTGTTTCGGCGAAGTGGCTGAGTGCCGCCGCCCCGGTGCGTGGTGCAGGGGGGCGGGGAGGAGGCTGCTCGGGGCTCATTGTGTGCGCGGGGCTGGGGAGTGACCGGGCCTGGCGCGCGCTGCGGTTGTCGGGGAGCGCTCGCGCTTGGCAGTGGCGGCGGCGGCGGCTACCGCTTCCACTGGGGGCAGGGAGGCTGCAGCGGGGCGAGGAGGCGACGAGGAGGTGCGGCGGCGGGGTAGGGGGGCTGAACTGGGGGGGAGAAGGGCGACGTGGGTGCGAGAGGGATGAAGCAGGGATGTAATGGGCTCATGGGGGAGGGAAAACGGGACAACCGTGGAGTGAGCAATGAGACGTGTGGGGTGGCTGTGGATGGGGTTGAGATGATTTGTGGGAAAGAGGGGTGTGGGTGGGGAGGAAAGCCTGGGAAGGTGGGAGGGGATGAGGTGATGGAAGGAGGAAAGACCTTTAATGCAAAGTAATAACTTTTTGTTTACTCTGGCATATGAACTGTGTTCTGAAAAAATGACACAACAGTATACTCTGACAGAAATGCCTTTAGACACTTTCATCGTTTGACAAAAAAGCTTGATATTATTATTCCAGTTGTTCCTTATGATTAAAATATACGAAGAGTATTTGCTATTTATGCCCATGAGTTGTTATTTCTCTGTTGGGGATCCACTGTTTCTCATCTTGCTCAGTATCTCTTTATGAGGGGATGTATGGTGCTGACTAGGAATACACGTGAATAAAGGAAGTGTGTGTGTTAGGTGTAGGGTACTAATTTGTCATATTTGTCTGTGTGATAAACAAAGTCTTGAGTTTCTATAAGTTTTGAATAATAGTTTATTATATGGTAAAAGCAAGCAGCCGGCTGGGTGACAGAAATGGGACCAGTTTCCCAAATCTGCACACACCTACTACAGGGTACATTTAGTATTTATCTTAGCTACTTCATGCATATTAATTATATCATATACATATACATTCTACAGGTTTTTGCTAAGTATTTAATATATGGGTTTTCGTACAGCTAAAGCTAAAGGGTTATCTCTACAACCAGTCATAATTCGTGCATCCTTGGATGAACAGGTGCCTAAAGATTTTCTACTATATTTTATTCTTAGGATAGTAAGGAGGGTTTAGGCCTCTTGACCTTGTGAGGGTCTGTTTTATTTCTTTATAGGGGTGTAATTAAGTTTTACAATCCGTTTGTTTTATTTTGATATAATCACCCATTTGTTTCACGAAGCACAATTATTTATTTATCACAATTCCTTCCCCTTTTTTATTATTACCTTATTGATTCGTGACTTTTTGATTTTTATAATATTAACTTTGTATATTTTGTCTTAGTTATTGTATACAGTAATAGAGTCAAAAGTTTCAAAAATGTCTTTAAGTTTTTCTTCATCGGTTTATGTCTTAATTTTATTTTAAGTTTTCTGTTGGTGATATTGTCTGCGCAGATCTTGGCATTTTCTTGACTTTGGTGTAATGTATTTAAGGAAGTTGCTTTTTTTTTAATTTTGATTGCAGTTCGTGTAATTAGCATCACTTGATATAGATTTTTCACTGTGGCTCCAGGGGTTCACCTGTAAAAGATCTTACATATATAATCTCTAGGTACAACATTATGAGGATAAATACCATGTCTGTGGTGACCACCACCTCCCTAAGATCCTGCTCTATGGTGAACTTGCCACTGGCTGCCGCATGAGAGGAGCCCCGAAGAAAAGATACAAGGACTCCCTGAAACAACATCTCAGCCTTGGCCATATTGATCACCATAACTGGTCTACTCTGGCCTCAAATCGGGAGACCTGGAGACACGCCATCTATAACGCAGCTGTCTCCTTTGAGAACACACGCAGGATCACTCTCGAGGAAAAAAGGCAACGCAGAAAGAACCGTACCTTGCAGAATACACCATCTAAGGAGTCTTTCTGCTGTGCCTTTTGCAATCGGATATGTCTGTCACGTATTGGCCTCATAAGCCACCAGCGTGCCTGTAGCAAATGTGGATAGTGCCTTCCCAAATCTTCGTTCGCGAAGCCTAACCATGAAATGAACAACATTATGAATTGACCTCTCGAGGTTACAAGCTTGTTTCAAGGATTAACTCTTTAACATTTTTAAGTTGTTTTTATAAATGTACAATATAATTTTTAATAGTACTTTTATCATGTTTCTGACTACATTAGTTTGACAAGGATACGCCTCAGGTCAACCTGAAAAAGTGTCAGTGAGAACAAGCAAATATCTATACCCCCCTTTTTCTGGGTAGTTCTAAAAATCGATTTGCTATTTCTGTCTTGGATAATTATTTTTCTATTTGTCTTAGTTGAATTTTGCTATGCGTCTCCTGTCTCACAGTGGTATAGAGATTTTGTGTTACTATATTTTGGCTTAGATATTTGTACAGAGCTTCTACTCCTAATGTGTTTTCTTGTGTTCTGTTATGATAAGTGTTCATAAAATAGAAGAGGATATTACTAACTTACCCTGTGGTGTCTTGACTCATTTGTTTTTCTTCTATTTTTCCTCTTAAATTCTGGATTAACTTTCAGTCTTCTTTAGAGTATCTAGACTCTGTCTTTACTGAATTTGAATTTTACCGTCAGGGATCAAATACTGGATTTTGCTTTCTTCTGCTTTTACTGCCCTTTTTGCCTCCGATCATTCATGGCATTTCTTCTTTCAAGGCCAGTAACACTCTTTTTGGTGAACCTTTCAATGCATAATAGGAACTTTTCTGGCAACTGAAGTGTTATAATCTGTTTTTTTTGAGTTAAGGTATTGACAAGGAGGGCTCTTGCCTTTATTACTTCATTTATCGTGGTTACTGCATATCTAGCTTTACGTCCTCTTTTCTAGATGAAATTTTTTCTGTGAACCAGAAGTCTTTAGCATCTTTCAGGAGTTCTTCTTTCAAGTCTGGTCGGCTTGAGTACGTTGCTCTTATTGTCTCTAAGCAGTTGTGTGCAACTGTATTTTTGGTGGCTTCTTGAAGAAAAAACTGGATTGATTATTTTGGTCAATCAGTGTGGCTTGGTATTTCAGAAAGCACTGAGGTGAAAACCAATGATTTAAATCAAGGGCTGGAGCCCTCATCAGTTTTGTTTTAGCTTATGAAAAGCTTTATCAGTTTCTTTACTCCAAGTGAGTATGTTGGACTCACTCTTATGAGTTCACACAGGGACTCCACCAGAAGTCCATAGCTGTAGATCTACAAGCGACATTATTCGGTCCCTCTGAGCAATGTTTGGAACTCTACCTTCTCTTGTGGCCGAGGAGTCCGGCAGACAGCTTCTTTCTTTGCTGTTTTTGGGGTTCGTTGTCCTGCAGCGACCTTGCAATCGAGGTAGGAGACCTGCTGCACAGCTCTTAGTACTCAACCAATCTGAGACAGTTTAGCATGTTAACAGTTCACCCAATAGGTATTATTTTGGATTTTCTTTCTCGTGCGAGGATTTTCTCATTCAAAAGCGAATAGTGATTAACTTTCAGGGCTCCAGGGCAGGAAGAAGAAAGCATCCTTTAGATCCAGGACCATAAACTATTTTAGCTCTGGTGTCAATTTAGTCAACAGTGTACACGGATCTGTCACTATGGGGTACAAGCCCCCAGCCATCTCATTTATTGCTCTAAGACCTTGCACTATTTTATACTTCCCATCAGGTTCCTTTACTGGTAAGATGGGAGTATTATATTTTTATTTATACTTTTTTAATAACTCATGTTTAATAAACTTTTCTATATTGTGTTGAATCCTTTCCTGATTCTCTATTTTAGGGGATATTGTTTAATCTTTATTGGCTGTGCCCCTAATTTAACTTTTACTTCAATTGACGTTATTTTGCTCTTCTTGGAGTTTTCGAAGCTCATACTTTGATCTGTTACTTCTTCATGTATGCCGCTTGAACTTTGAGTCTCTATTAGGGCAAGATTTAAAATCTCAATCAATTGCTCCTTTTTACTTTGAATTTTATTTTTTTCTGTTCAAATTTAATTTCAGCTCTCAATGGCTCTAGTAAGTCTCTTCCCAGCAAACAAACTGGTGAGTTTGGCATGTATAACAATGTGGATCTCAAATTGCTTTCCTGATTTGTATTTTAAAGGTTTCAAGAAATGAACTTTTTCTGTTTGACCCATGGCTCCCCTTATCGATACAAAACTTACAGCAGTGGGTACTAAAGTTTGATTAATACTTAAAATACAGTTCTTGTATTGATTAAAATTATGCTTCCTATTTTTGTTCTTTTAGCTTTTTTGTATTTGGGATCTTGGGGCTATTTATAACCTTTTAGGACTCAGCACAACCCCTTAGGATTCGGTCTAACCCCCCTTTCCCCCATCCCTCTAATTTCTTTAGTTCTCTTTTAATATCACTACAGGCATAATTTATAAAGTGGACTTTCAATGATATTAGGCCAGCTGGTGTATCAGGACTAATGCCTAAATATTGCTGTAAATTTTTCTTTAGTCTTTCTTGGGTTAACTTACTAATATTCTCAATATCTTCCCAATTTGATATCATTACCCCCAAAGGACTGGTAGGGGTAATATCCAGCAATGCCTGCTTGGGCAATGCCTGCTTGCTCCCTTTTCCCTTGAGGCTACCATTCTTACTGAATCCTTGCCCCATAGTTTTCCGAGGTCCCTTCTAGAATCTCTCCACCGACTCTCTGGGATCCCTTCTAAACTCTCCCCACTGACACAAAGGTCTCTCCTTAAGACTTTTCCATCGACCCCAGAGGTCCAATCACCAATTCTCTCGCGTCGCCCGGTCACTGGCTGTTCCGTTCGCACGGAGACAGACACGCAGTTAGAAGGGCTACCGCAATCACTTCGCAGCAAAACTGCGTCTCATCCAGTCATCCACTCCGACCTCTTACCCGCCCAACCAGGGAATACTCACAGTCCGTTGTTCTTCCCTGGGTTTTCGTGCACAAGAATTATGGGCTCTTT